GGGGCGATATTTACCTCCCTCCCCCGCCCCGAGCGCCTTTGTCCGCCCGCGCTGGAGCGCTCGGGGATCGCCGGGCTGGGAGCATTGTTGTGTGCGAGCGAAGCGTCGGTCATGCCGGGGAGAGAGTAGCGAGCGTACGCGGGGCCGAGGCCGGCAAGAGCCGAAGGAGCTGGGGAGGAGAGGGAACTGCCGCTTGGTCCCGGTGTCCCTGCATGGACCGCGAGAGAGACGCGCTGAGCTGACCCTGCCGGAGCTGTTTCTGCTTGTACATGTGAGATCTGGTTGGGTTTTTTTCTCCACCTCTCTCTCTCTCTCTCCAGCTCCTTCTCGTATTCTCCACTTACTCCTGTATGCAAAATGGTGGACCCTGTGGGGTTTGTGGAGGCTTGGAAAGCACAATTTGCAGACTCTGAGCCTCCTAAAATGGAGCTGAAATCTGTGGGAGACATTGAACAGGAACTGGAGATGTGCAAAGCATCTATCCGGAGGCTGGAGATGGAGGTCAACAAGGAGAGGTTTCGCATGATTTACCTGCAGACTCTTCTGGCAAAGGAGAAAAAAAGCTATGATAGACAGAGATGGGGTTTTAAACGTGTTTCTCAGTTGCCTGAAGGGGGTGCAGAGCAGCAGATCCAGGACCTGCATCATCACCAGTCTGCTGACCAAGAGGAATATGAAAAAAGCAAGTCACACCATGGGGAGGAAAAGTTCAAACCCAGGATACCCTCTCTGCGGAAGCTGTCTACACAGAGCGATGGCTCGGACCTGTCACCTGTGGACAGCCCCCATCATGGGGAAGGAGAGCAGGACAGGTGTAAGTACTATGGGGAAGAGAAACTGAAGAGAGTTGCAGAAGATATGGAGAATCGCTGTGATACAGATGGCTCTCCTTCAAAACACAGGTCAGCTTCCACTCGCAGGCTGGTGGGATCTGCTGAGAAGGAGGGATCATTTGAACCCAAGGAGAGAGGGAACAGCACGAGTGTGGCAGCCCTAAGGTCCAATTTTGAGAGAATGAAAAAGGTTAATTCGCATTCTTCTGGAGATAACAAGGATGTTGTTGAAAAGCCCTTTTATGTGAACATGGAGTATCATCATGAGAAGGGTCTAGTAAAGGTCAACGATAAAGATGTTTCTGATAAAATAAGCTCCCTTGGCAGCCAAGCCATGCAAATGGAACGCAAAAAGTCTTTGCACTCCCTCCCTTCTAACGTGGTACCCAGCTTCAGCGAGTTCCAGAGGCCTGCTTACAGGGGAAGGTGCTCGGAGAGCAGCTTTGGCTATGATGGAGAATATGAGGATGCTGAACTGAACACCAAGTTTCTCAAAGATAACCTGATTAATGCCAATGGCAGCAACCGCTCGCCTTGGCAGCCCATGGACTTTCAGCCGTATCAGAGTATCTATGTTGGTGGAATGATGGGGGAAGGAGAAGGAAAAGGACCTATTCTGCGGAATCAGGGCACAACTGACCAGGAAAAACATCTCACGTGGCCCAGGAGATCTTATTCCCCCAGGAGTTTTGAAGATATAGGAGGAGGATATACTCCTGACTGTAGCTCTAATGAGAACCTTACCTCCAGTGAGGAAGACTTCTCCTCAGGACAGTCCAGCCATGTGTCCCCCAGCCCCACTACTTACCGCATGTATCGGGACAAGAGCCGTTCTCCCTCCCAGAACTCTCAGCAGTCCTTTGACAGCAGCAGCCCACCAACCCCCCAGTCTCAGAAACGGCACAGGCAGCAGCAGGTCATTGTGTCTGAGGCTACTATTGTGGGTGTACGAAAAACAGGACAGATCTGGCCAAGCGATGGAGATTTGCCCTCTGGGAGATGTCACCAGGACAGCTGTTTCCATGGGGATACAGGTGTGTACCAGCTTTTTGTTTAGCCTTGTCAATGTATAGGGCAGGGGATGGCATTGTGGATATTAATGGGAGACCCTGGGTGAATCTAAGGGGGCAGCTGTTTCATGTGAGAAGTCTGTGTTTAATTTGTAGTTCAGCTGTTTTAGAAAGGTCCTACAGAAGTATGTGTCAGGTTGCATTTTAGGAATTCAGCCTGGATTCCCAGAAGGGTCGATTCAGGCATCTCTGAGGGTCAATGGAGTCCAGTGTTAATCAGTTCTTAAAGTTTTAGTGTGAACACTGAGGTAAAAATGGGCCAGAACTTCACCTGGTATTTACCAGCTGTGGTGAATTCACCACCAGATAGTTCCCTCCCTCAGATTCATGCACTTAGGAGTAGTTAAACTCTACCTCAGAGGTGGTAGTGTGCCAACATACTACAGCCTGAGGGTTTTGCTGGAGCCTTCCTGAAAATGATGCTGCTTCCACAATCTTGTTTTTTCCTGCCTGTATTAATTGGGAGTGCTAGTTTCTCGTTCTGTCTTGTGTCAGCCTTCAATTAGAGCTGATTGGAGGTGATGATTGTGCAACCCTGTTCTTGAAGCTTTCTGCCATCACTGAGTGAAGGAAGAACTTGGAATATCAGGAAGCCCTAAGGGGAAAATGTTAATTTCACCAGAATAAAAATTGTTGTTTGGGGAAGAATGGGCAATGTTTGAACCAGTTCTTATGTAAGCCATACAGGTGTGTCTGTGGAATTGCAGTGAATTTATAGTTGGTGGAAGAGGCATACAAGGGACTGTGTGAATTCAGATAGATTTATTGAATGTATGTGGACATCTGAATCTATTTAGCAAGGCAAGGCATGTAGTATAAATAGTTTCTTGTGTTAACACCAGTAGTCTATGGCAGTGAATGGAAATCAAATCCAGGAATGAAAAAAACCAAGAACTTTTGTTTTGACAGACTTCTGTATTCTAAATCTGTGAGTTCTCTTGTGAGTTTTCTTCATCACTTTAAATCTCATTTTAATAAGGGATTAACGTGTTATTTGTCAATGGGGCCAAATTCCTGAAGTAGTAGGGGAAGTGAGAGACCTGTCAGAGATGTTGTCACTTTCTCAGGTTGTGTGAATTTGCTGTATTAGCTCTCAGAAGAGTAACTTTGCTGAAAGGAGATGCCTGGTTTTACTTTCCCTGCTGATTGTTTTTGCCAGCAGTACTTTTCAGGAGCAATAACAGAGAACCTTTCCCTGCCCCCAGCCATCCTCAGATCCCCTTGTGTTATTGGAAGGCTGGATGGTTGTAGTGGATGTTCAGTGTCCATGGAAGCTCTGCACCCTGTCCTCACAGTGACTTCTTCCTTATCAGATTGGATGTACATCCCTGTTTCCTAGCTGGGACTGCTGCGTTCCTGTTGGGCTTTGTGCCTGTTTGTATCTGAGGGATAGCACTGGCAGTGCTGGGGGTCTTGTGCTGGTTTGAACCAAGCTGCAACCATCTGTCTCTGCTCTTGTTTACTGATGCTCTTTAGATGACTGGGAAGCCTCCTGGCAGTTTCAATTTTTGCAGAAGGAAACAAAGGGACAAAAATAACAAAGGTTGTTAAAGCTTGAGGATAGATTCAGCTTTCAGAAAGGCAATAGATAATTTTTATTTTAAGTAATTTAGCTGGGATGCAGTGATAAAAAATGGGCTGCTGAAAGTCAGAACACTTAAAATTCCTGCTTGTGCTGGAAAGCTTTGTGTCTTGTTTCTAAGGATGACCACACATTGCAGGCAAGGACACAATGTAACTGATCGACCTTCTGCTTTCCTCAGCATAGGGGGTAACATGGCAAGCTTAGCAGGAACTTTCACCAGATGGCTAATCAGTATCGTCTTGCACATTAGCTGGTGGCAACTTTTTACTTACCCAAAAAGGCTTATGCCTTCAGGAGGACTGTGTTTCTGATTAATTCCTACTGAGCATCATTTTATATGAATTTTCTTTCTTTCCTGATTAGGAAGAATTTTGATCTGAAACCAATTGGCAGAACCTCTTTCTCACAAAACAAACAAAAGGCTTGAGAGACCACTGAGTGATTAGCTGGCTGGCTACCATTCCCAGCCACCATGCTCTGGTGTGAACTGTTCTCCATCACCACATGATCCGAAAGCAGTTCACAGATCCAGACAGCTTTTCCTGCACCTGTGGTTCAGTCACTGCTTCTGCCAGGCTTCCCTGAAGTTTTGCTTGAACAGAGAGTGCAAGTTTGAATCACAGTAGGTTCTGGCCAGCCTTAATTGTAATTAACATCAAGTGGGGTTTGTTCAATAGTGTTTGACTTCTTTGTGCATTCAGATTTTTGTATGCTTCTTGGCTTTGCCTTTGATAACTCTTCCTGTAATAATGCTGAGTGTGCTGTGGACAGGTGCAATGTGAAATTTCTGTCCAGATCTGCCATCCCAGTGCACCTTGAGCATGGCCAGCAGACACATGTTGTTCTGTCCAAATTATTTCATAAGTTCACAGTTGAGTGATGTTTTCCTAATTCTGTATTGCAGAAAAGGACCTAACTCTCAAGTGAATGGAGTCCAAGCCAAAATTTTGATCTGGGTTCTTGGAGATGGGGTATCAAAAACTCTTAATCAGACTAAGGTAGTAGGCTTTCAGTTTTTTCAAAGGAGCAGAATGAGAGCTTCAGGGTTGAGATTTGGTAATAGCTGTACTTTTTATTAAACATACTTAATGGAGCCTGGGCAAAGATATTTATATTAGGATTAATTATGTATCACTAATTTCCTGTAGTGGGAATAGAAAAAAACCATGTCTTAACTCTGCATTAAGCTTGAATATTTTTCCTATGATTGTGGAGGAAGAATAAGATTTTTTGAATTCTGGCTACTGGTAAACATCGGTTGCAGAGACATACACAAAAGAAGCCACTCGTGTATTTCAGCTTATAGTCAAGGGGAGAGTTGCTCAGTGCTGTTATGGAATGATGATGGCCTCAGCTGGGTCAATTTTTTGACTAGTAGCAGTTTGTTAATGGAGGAGCACACTGGAGCTGTGGCTTGGCTTTATAGCTTGCTGCATAAAATCAGTGCATGCTCTCTCAGCTCTGTGTGTCAAGTGATTTTTATCTATCTGCATAACAACATGGAAACTTTGTCTGGAGTCCACAGCTGCTTCCCTCAAGGTGCCCCAGTAGTGGTTTCTGTTCACATGAGAAGACCTGATGGTGCTCTGCAGTGTTCTGCTGGGCTCTTTCTCTAGAAAGCTGCCAACAACCATAGTGCTCAATGCGAGGTCAGTTTGGGGATATGTGTCATTTAATTCCATTGGGAGTGAAGTTTTACTTATTTTAGCTGCTACTAAGTGTGGGAGTGCTGAATGTCCCTTTCTGGAGAGCATGGAACATTCTCTATATTTTTAGTGATTTCATGTAGACAGAGAAAAGAGTGGTGGAATTTATGCATGTGAACTGCAAGACTCAAAATTCCTGTTATCTCAGCTGAGCAGAATGCCATTTTAAAGCTCCTACTTAGAGCTGTAGGTTCTTCAGTTTTGGTATGCTTTAAATGCCTGACCAGATAGGCAAGCATCTGAATTTCCTGCTGCTAAGGTAAACCTTGACACTTACTTGCCCCAAGTAAGCATGCAGTGTGTCGTCATGGAAGGACCTTGTTCAGTACCACTTTCTGCAAGGGTCTGTTCCTGAGCTACTTGCATCTTCTGAGATCTTGGACAAGTTTCTTAATTCTGCACTTCTTCCACCCACTATTGCATTCTGTGGCTTTTAGTTTGAAGCTGTAGTTTGAAAAGTGCTTTGCAGTATTTTACTGGTACAAAGACTCCTAAGGCAACATGCCAGTCCTGTTGGTGCTCTTTAAAGACCCAACTTTCCTTTGAGCAACTGAGACACAGATTTCAGGCCACTGTAGTAATTCTTCCTTCTGAGGAGCTGAAACGTAGGAACTTCCATAATGTGCAATTTGCTTGTTAATCTTAAGGGCTCCTGACCATGGGTCCTGTTTTCCATTTGAGACTTACATTGAATCAATAATGAAGTTTACATTTTCTCTGGCACTTGTTTAGTTTATTTTGCTGTTACTTTACAAACATGTTTTAATCCTTTCCTCTGATCAGTGGATTTCCTAGGAGCACTGTTGCCAAGATGCTGTTTAAATGCAACTCCCCACCCTGCCTTGCTTTTCAGCAATTTAGTGGCTTTTGAGATTTTTGAGATTATCAAGACGTTTGTGCTACCACTCCCCTCTTCTTAGTTTGGGGGAGTGAAGAGCTCTTTCTCTGCCAGATTTCTC